GTCGCACGATTTCAAATTCGTGTTTGATGTGACCGGGGTGTAAGGCTAGAGAGGCCAGCTTTGACTTATTTTAAAGGCATAGTCCACCTTTTACGAAATGTAATATATGCACTCATTAACCACTTGCCCTCCGGAAGATTTACCCCCTTTATGACCAGGCCATTTTTTGTGATATGGCTCTGCGTTCCTTTAACTGACAATTGCGCGGTCATGCAATGCTGTACATAAGGAAAAATTGATTGAAAATGTATGTCCTTTTTTCCCCACAAATAGAGCTTTCGTTCGGTGGCATTTGATCACCTGTGCGTTTTTTATTTTTTGCATTATAAATAAAAAAGACCAACAATTTTGAAAAACAATATTTTTGCTAATAAAGATGTCCAATAAAAAAATGTAAAAAATAAAATTTTGTCATAAATTTAGGCCACAATGTATTCTTCATGTCTTTGCTAAAAAAAAAAAAATCCCAATACGTATAAATTAATTGGTTTACGTGAAAGTCATAGCATCTGCAAATGGCGATATATATTAGAATTTATTTATACACACACACACACTAACTAGTAATAACGTCGATCAGCGGCTTCTAGCGGGACTGCGGCGGGCATTCTGACACTGGGTGGGAACTGACTAACTGCCACTGACATCCCCAGTGACACTAATACAGTGATCAGTGTTAATAAAAAATCACTGACACTGTACTAATGGCACTGGGCAGGAAGGGATTAGCTTTTGGGTGATCAAAGGGTTAACTGTGTGCTGTGTGTGTTTGGCTGTGTGCGGTTTTACCTTGGAGACATTCTGTTTTGTATTTCTCTGCTGTGCAGAGAAATACAAAACAGCATGTCCTTGCTGGCAGAAGAGTCCTGTGTTGTTTACACACAGGTCTCTCCCCTGTCAGCTTTGCATGGCAATCGCCGGGTGCTGGCGGAGAATCTCCAGCCGGGACCCAGTGATTGACATGCCTAGCTGCCAATGACGGAGCAGGTAGGGCGGCACGCATGCTCCCTACCCGCAAATGCAGATCACGTATACATACGTGCTTTTGCGCAGCCCTGTAGCAGTATTTCTGCTATAGGGCAGTAGGCAAGCGGTTTTATAAAACAAAAATTTGCATATATTAAATTTTTTCATTGATGTTTGCATAGCATTGCAACCACAATCAGTGGATCACAACGTAAAGGCACAGGCTCCTGAAGACTGTCGCCATCCCCAGGTCCATATGAAGGTGCAGACTTTTTGTTATGGGGCTGGAGGAAGTAACCAATGGACTACAAGTGCAGTGGTGCCACCACACTTGTGTGGCACGTTCTGAGTCCCTCTGCTGTGGTGGTAGATAGGACTCTTAAGATGTAAATGGATGATGTGGCTGTGCAAGTTCAGGTAAGTGGAGGTGTTTTGAGGGTGGGGTGGTTAGAATGTGGACATATTTTATCCTACATCTAAATATTCAAAAACGTTAAAACTGTTCAGAAAGATGTACAGTATATATGTGAAACTCTTTTTTGTCTAGGAGTGAGGAGAAAGCTTATACTCACCTGATCCTTCAATCCTCCAGAAAACGATATTCCCCCACAGTCCGATAGTGGACTGGTCCTGGTCTATGGAGTAAAAAGGTCAGGACCGAGTATGAAGGCCCTTTACAAAATAATCTAGACTGAGTGACTTGGGACAAAGAGAATGCAAATTTTCTTAAATACCTTCTTCAGCTCTGTGTATACAAAGGAGCATGGGGGAGCTCGGGTCCATATGGGCATGGTATTGACACAGCCCCAGCTGATCCACATTGGCTCATAATTGATATGATCCAGAAATATTTAGACTGAATAAAGCACCTGGACCGGATGGCATACACCCACGGGTCCTTAAAGAATTGAGCTCTGTCATTTCAAAGCCATTGTTTCTTATTTTTAGGGACTCGTTAATGACTGCCACAGTACCACTGGATTGGCGTAAGGCCAATGTGGTGCCAATATTTAAAAATGGATCAAAATCTTTACCAAGTAATTATCGATCTGTTAGTTTAACTTCTATAGTTGGGAAGACAGTGGAGAGTTTAATAAAAGACCACATAGATGAGTTCTTGCAGGACAAAAATATTTTAAGCAACAGACAGCATGGGTTCATGAAAGACAGACGTTGTCAAACAAATCTGATTTCTTTTTATGAGGAGGTGAGCAAAACCTTGGACAGAGGGGTGGCGGTGGACGTGGTATACTTGGATTGTGCAAAAGCGTTTCACACAGTTCCCCACACACTGCTAATGTGTAAGGTAAAGTCTACGGGCTTGGAAAAATCTGTATGTAAATGGATGGAAAACTGGCTAAAAGATCGTATTCAGAGAGTAGTGGTTAATGATTTATACTCTGAATTGTCTAGGGGTGTCAGTGGTGTACCCCAGGGTTCAGTGTTGGGACCCTTACTTTTTAATATATTTATAAACGATATAGGGTCTGGGATTAAAAATCCCATTTCAGTCTTTGCAGATGACACCAAGCTGTGCAGTGGAATAATGTCCTTACAGGATGTCTCCAATTTACAAGCCGACCTCAATGCTCTGTTTAATTGGGTAACTATGTGGCAAATGAGGTTTAATGTTGATAAATTTAAGGTTGTGCACATGGGGGCTAAGAATATGCATGCATCATACATACTAGGGGGGGTACAACTGGGGGAATCGATGGTGGAGAAGGATCTGGGGGTTCTGGTAGATCACAAGCTTAATAATGGCATGCAATGCCAAGCTGCGGTTTCTAAAGTGAGCAAAATCCTCTCTTGTATTAAAAGAGGTATAGACTCCAGAGAGAGAGATATCATATTACCCTCTGTACAAATCATTAGTAAGATCTCATCTGGAATATGCAGTTCAGTTTTGGGCACCAATTCACAAAAAGAACATTGGGGAACTGGAGAATGGGCAGAGAAGGGCAACCAAACTGATAAGAGGCATGGAGGAGCTCAGCTATGAGGAAAGATTAGAGGAACTGAATTTATTCTCTCTTGAGAAGAGGAGATTTAGGGGGGATATGATTACCATGTATAAATACATCAGTGGTTCATATAGTGAACTTGGTGTAGAGCTATTCATCCTGAGGTCATCATAGAGGACAAGGGGGCACTCCTTATGTCTGGAGGAAAAGAGATTTAATCTCCAAATACGGAAAGGTTTCTTCACAGTAAGAGCTGTGAAAATGTTGAATAGACTCCCTCAAGAGTTGGTTCTGGCCAGCTCAGTGGATTGCTTTAAAAAAGGCCTGGATTCTTTCCTAGATACACAGAATATAACTGGATACTAACATTTATAGGTAACGTTGATCCAGGGAATATCCAATTGCCTCTTGGGGGATCAGGAAGGAATTCTTTCCCCTGCAGGAGCAAATTGGGTCATGCTTTGCTGGTGTTTTTTTTTTTTTTTTTTTTGCCTTCCTCTGGATCAACTGTGGGTATAGCGTTATAACTTTTTTTTTTTTTCTTCTTTTTTTTATGGTTGAACTAGATGGACTTTTGTCTTTCTTCAGCCATACTAATTATGCAACTATGTATGCTCTGGGCTTGATAAAGTCAGGAATAGTCCACAACTCAAGACAGCTGAAGCACAGGGGTGCTGGACTGGTCTTGTGCTGGGAGGATTAGGTAAGTATATCTCCTTTCTCCTCTTCCCTAGACAAAAACAAGCTGTTAACTCGTGCACACTGCATGATAAATCTTTTTTTTTTTTGTTTTTCTTTCTTTGCATACATTGGGGTTTATTTATTAAGCTGGAAAGTGCAAAATCAGACTCACTTCTGCATAGAAACCAAGCGGCTTCCAGGTTTTATTGCCAAAGCCAAATTAAACAAGCTGAGGTTAGAAGCTGATTATTTTTTATGCAGAAGTGAGCCTGATTTTGCACTCTCCAGCTTTAGTAAATATACCCCATTGTTTTATGACGATGGTATGGACACAGGTGCGCTTTAAGTCTGCTTTTACAGGTTTTTTTTTTTTTTTCTTTCTAAATGACTGATGCTCTTCAAATGTCATCTGTTGCTTCCTGTAACTTGCTCTGTAAAATTTGCAGAAACGTTTATAGAAAACCTAAGATGTTTTTGAGACTGTGACCACTTCCTGTTAAAGATCTTTTGTTAGCGCTGTCAGATGGAAACACACCCATCCTCTCTGTTCTCTCCCACTCTCTTTTTGACTAGGACTCTCAGCCTTCTCCCTTGGCTTTGCTAGCTGCAACCTGCAGTAAAATAGGAACCACTGGGGAAAATCAAGCCTCTGGACAGCAACAGATAATCATAGATCCCAGCCAAGGGTTGGTTCAACTGCAAAACCAGCCACAGCAGCTGGAGCTGGTTACCACTCAGCTGGCAGGCAGTGCTTGGCAAATAGTCGCAGCTGCACCTCCCATCTCGAAGGAAAACAGTTTAGCTCAGCAAGGCATTTCAATAGCTGCGAGTACAGCAGGTTCGTCTACAAGCAGCAATGAGAATTCATCGCCAACAAAAACTAGAGCTAGCACTTCAGCTACAGCCCCTGGGCAGTTCCAGGTCATCCAGGTCCAAACGCCTGGAGGGAACGTGCAGTACCAAGTTATTCCTCAAATACAGACTATGGAAGGTCAACACATTCAGATCGGTCCTGGAAATGCCACCGCACTGCAAGATTTGCAAGGTCAAATCCAATTTATCCCCGCTGGTAACAATCAAGCCATTATCACTGCTGGCAACAGAACAACTTCTGGAAATATTATTGCACAGAACTTAGCGAATCAAACTGTTCCTGTGCAGATTCGACCTGGAGTTTCGATACCACTGCAGCTGCAAACCATCCCTGGTACTCCTCAGGTAGTGACTACCTTACCCATAAACATAGGAGGAGTGACTCTGGCTCTGCCTGTGATCAACAGTGTGTCTGCTGGAGGAACTTCAGCACAGATTGTTCAGTCCACAGATGGCGGGGTTACCAATGGAAATCAGCTGGTGTCTACACCCATCACAACTTCCTCTGTCAGTACCATGCCTGATTCTCCCTCCTCCTCTGCCTCCTCCACCACCTGTACAACCACTGTGTCTACCACTCTGACTAGCAGCGACACCCTCGTCAGCACAGCTGAATCAGGCCAGTTCACGGGCACACCAGCAAGTACAGAACGTACAGCAGAAGAATCTCCATCCTCTGTTACAGAGTCTGAATCTCAAAGTAGCAGTCAGCTTCAGGCAAATGGACTTCAGAGTGTGTCTGATCAGTCAAGTTCCTTGCAGCAGGTACAGATCGTGGGGCAGCCAGTTTTACAGCAAATTCAGATTCAGCAGCCACAGCAACAGATTATACAAGCCATACCACAGCAGTCTTTTCAGCTTCAATCAGGACAGACCATACAGACTCTTCAGCAGCAACAGCTGCAAAACGTTCAGCTCCAAGCATTAAGCCCAACGCAGGTTCTCATAAGGGCCCCAACATTAACCCCATCGGGTCAGATCAGCTGGCAAACTGTGCAGGTTCAGAATATCCAGAGCCTTCAGAATTTGCAAGTTCAAAATGCTGGCCTGCCACAACAGCTCACCATCACTCCAGTGTCTACCAGTAGTGGTACAACAATTGCTCAGATTACACCAGTTACAGTTGCTGGTACCCCAATCACTCTCAATGCTGCCCACTTTACATCTGTGCCTAATCTGCAGACGGTCAGCGTTGCAAATCTTGGTACAGCTGGAGTCCAGGTTCAGGGGGTTCCTGTAACAATTACAAATGTTGGAGGTATGTGTCATCTTTGCATATTTACCCATGTCTTCTGTCTTGCTGAATCTTGGCATCACTTGGACAGTGGAAGGGTTAAACACTAGCACGCTGAGAACACATAGGTATATGTCAGTGTCTCCAGCATTGAATACAGTTCATGTATATGCTGTAACTGAAAGTTCCTGGTTAGTCAGTCTAGCCTAGCCTGTATTTTCCATGCATGTGGCAGCAGATTGTACTAGTTTTTACTTTGGCCTCCTTTGGCAAGGAACATCAAACAATAGTTAGGAACTGCTGGAACTTTTTTGCAAGTTTTAAAATCTGCTTATAAGAGCCCATATGCATTTCTGCAATGTAGTAACGAACCGATTATTTAAAATGGGCTGCTAATGCACCCAGCACACTCAGAATCAGAAATGTTCCATTTTTTAATTTACTATCGTGCATTGCTATGAATTGTGACACACTACAATGGAGGTACATTAGGGTGCCATTCAAACTGAATGGCATCACACCAACAAGCGTAATGTGTGTTACCACAATGCAGAAGTGGGATTCAACCCTACATTTGTGTCCCTTACCCCTATTTAATATTTTCTTTCATACCTCCTTCATTCATACCTTTTAGGCCCGAGTGTAGTGAGGGGTATATAGTCCTGCTAGCTTTAAAATGTAACACCACTAGGTTACTAAAATGGGAAAATCTCCTATTTTTGTTTGGGCTAGAGTTCTTCTTTAATTTCCAGAGCTGCAGAATAACTGCTTTCACCATAAAATATTTGATATGTGAATTGCCTTTCTTAAAGTGTATTTGTCATAGGAATAATATGGGGGCTGCTACTGCTGACCTCCTTCTGAAAATGAGTTGCCTGGCTGTGTGTTGCATAGACACGGAGTAAGAATGCAGCCAGCAAGTCAGAGAAAAGCCAGAATTCATTATTGCCATACTCTGTCCAGATCACCAGCTCATAGTATTGCTGTTAAAGCGTCCAAATGACCGCCAGGCAGCTTCCAGGGTAACACAGCCTTTCTGAGCAAAGTTAGTCTTTTATCTAACGTTTGCATTAGAGCACCTTGCTGTCTTTTTCAGTAAGATCATTTGGGAATACCTTTTGCTTTTCCAGATTTGTAATGCATGCCTATGGCAATTCTTTGACACATTTAAGCAGCCCATAGATCACATGATTTTCTTCCCTTCCATCAGAAAATTGCTTGATTCCCCCATCAATACAGTCAGTGCTGATGTGGGAATCCCTCCTGCTGATCTCTTGTGTTTTGGTGTGGGGCGCTTTCCTGGTGTGTAGAATACAGTTGTAACTGCTAGCAGCTATAGCCGCTGGCACTACTAGAATGTGAAAAAATCCAACAGACTGTTTGTACCCAAGTTGATCGATTGGATTGACTTGGGTACAATCAGCCTACCCATACATGGGTCGAATTTCAGCCGGTTCAGCAGACCAATCAGGCTGAGTTTTCTAAAGCCACCAATCAAATTCAGAATTTTCTTACAAGTTTGAATCTGCTGTTTAATGTATTAGCAATCAGTGCCAGGCAACTGGAAAGGATTTGGTGAGCTGCTAATATTTTCCAGTAAAAACAATTGCTCTAAAGTTGGAAAGGTCACTAAAGTGGTAGTAACCTTTTTTTTTTTAATTTATTATACTTTTGCCTTACAGGTAGGCTTATCTTAAAACTTCACAAAAATAGAGCAGAGACAAACCACCTAGAATGACACGAATAGCTGGTGTCATTATCATATCTCCGACTCACTTGTATAAGTGTGGATCCATAAACCCAAAAAAATGCATACTAAACAATATGGTAGTGTGACAAGAGCACCCCTACCTGAAAACAGAAGGTTACTAAATGATCCACGCGGAGTAATATGAATTCAAAAAATTCAGACAATACTTTATTTGATCACATAGATCATAAGGAGGTTAAACATGAGCACGGTGAACATGTCAAACAAATAAAATCATGTTTAAAAAGCACTAGGCGTCTTCATTATAGGGTCATTTTAGCAAGTAGAGCACCATATATGGCAATATAGGGTAATGGTGAGGTAATTCTCCTAGATTTCCATGGATTTCCAGCTTATATTAGAGTGAGCCATGTATACAGCAGATATATTCCCAATATACGTCAGGAACCTCCTGGTATGTGAAAGCTGGAACACAAAAAATACACTATGTATGTATGAGAATATAGGAGCTAAATCACATCCAGGCCTCACCACGCCTCCCTCTACAGCAATAAGTGGACACTTCAATTACCTTCTCAGTTGTAAGACTGTCATATTTGCTTCTCAAATATAGGGACTTCCTGGGTAACCACCCCAAGTGAAACAAAGTCCACAGTACCAAATGATTCTGGGGATATATATAAAAATAAAGATAAATATAGATGTATAGATCACAGGCATCAAGTGAACCCTGAAAACAAGGAACACAATATAGGTATATTACCATCAATGAAGATCAAGAAGACTCCCGTCGACTTGAAATAAGATCAGGTCCTTGATGCTTGTTCAGAGGTGCATATGGGGGTGGGAAGCCAGGTAGTCACAGAACGTAGATTCCAAACACATATAATATGTATGTAGCAGGCCGTGAGAACCTGAGTCTATATACCCAATAAAGGGTTTCCAACATTACTCAATCTGAGAAAATTGAAGCGGTTTCATTAGGATATGGCAATGTCACAGCATACAATGCCTAAATAGGATAGCGTGTATATATGTATATATATGTTATCCTCTAAAGAGGATTTCAAAACATTCCCCGTGTATACAGGGTAAATTAGGCCCATATGAGATACCTTCTTGACTCCATATATGCTCTATAAATCTAGACAGCTGTAAGCTTAAATAACTTGCCACCGGTGGAAGATATATTCCCCTAGGGGATTGCCGTTTGCGAACCGCTGTTATAGTAGCCTTATGGTAGTTTTTCAGAGGGCCTCGTTCCTTCCTAGCAAGGAGCTGTGACACCGCCGTTCCTTTGGGGAAGGAACGGCGGTGTCACAGCTCCTTGCTAGGAAGGCACGAGGCCCTCTGAAAAACTACCATAAGGCTACTATAACAGCGGTTCGCAAACGGCAATCCCCTAGGGGAATATATCTTCCACCGGTGGCAAGTTATTTAAGCTTACAGCTGTCTAGATTTATAGAGCATATATGGAGTCAAGAAGGTATCTCATATGGGCCTAATTTACCCTGTATACACGGGGAATGTTTTGAAATTCTCTTTAGAGGATAACATATATATACATATATACACGCTATCCTATTTAGGCATTGTATGCTGTGACATTGCCATATCCTAATGAAACCGCTTCAATTTTCTCAGATTGAGTAATTTTTGGAAACCCTTTATTGGGTATATAGACTCAGGTTCTCACGGCCTGCTACATACATATTATATGTGTTTGGAATCTACGTACTGTGACTACCTGGCTTCCCACCCCCATATGCACCTCTGAACAAGCATCAAGGACCTGATCTTATTTCAAGTCGACGGGAGTCTTCTTGATCTTCATTGATGGTAATATACCTATATTGTGTTCCTTGTTTTCAGGGTTCACTTGATGCCTGTGATCTATACATCTATATTTATCTTTATTTTTATATATATCCCCAGAATCATTTGGTACTGTGGACTTTGTTTCACTTGGGGTGGTTACCCAGGAAGTCCCTATATTTGAGAAGCGGGTATGACAGTCTTACAACTGAGAAGGTAATTGAAGTGTCCACTTATTGCTGTAGAGGGAGGCGTGGTGAGGCCTGGATGTGATTTAGCTCCTATATTCTCATACATACATAGTGTATTTTTTGTGTTCCAGCTTTCACATACCAGGAGGTTCCTGACGTATATTGGGAATATATCTGCTGTATACATGGCTCACTCTAATATAAGCTGGAAATCCATGGAAATCTAGGAGAATTACCTCACCATTACCCTATATTGCCATATATGGTGCTCTACTTGCTAAAATGACCCTATAATGAAGACGCCTAGTGCTTTTTAAACATGATTTTATTTGTTTGACATGTTCACCGTGCTCATGTTTAACCTCCTTATGATCTATGTGATCAAATAAAGTATTGTCTGAATTTTTTGAATTCATATTACTCCGCGTGGATCATTTAGTAACCTTCTGTTTTCAGGTAGGGGTGCTCTTGTCACACTACCATATTGTTTAGTTATCTTAAAACTTGCATGTAGGTAAAATGAGTATCTCCTAAACGTGCACTGTTTAGGAGATATTTGCTCTTTTTGAGATCTGGTGCATGCACTCTGACGGAACAGCATACCAATGCCATTCCTTCAGAGCGCTGTGCTGTGGCGTGGGAGTGACGCCATTGCAGCTCGACCAGTCAGGCGGCCAGAGCTTGCAAACTCAGAAGAAAGACCAGGTGAAGATTGAAGCCTCTGCAGCAGTGACAGCGTGCCGCTGAAGGGCTACGTGTTAAGGCAAGTTCTTCATAATGTGCTAGTATCTAGCACATTATGACGTTACCTTGCAGGGCATTTTTATTTATTTATCTTTTTTTTTTTTTTAAGCTGTGGTCTACTACTGCTTTAAAGGATAAGTTCACCTTTTGGAATATGTTACATGTTCCACCCGTATTTACTCTCACTATTTTTTAAACAACGCAGTCGTGCAGGGCTCTACCCACATGGCCACATCATTCATTCAGTTTCCTGTGAATTACTTCAACTACAAGTACCATCAACCTTTGCGGCTGACGGTTTGTAGTTCTGAATGGACTGCAAGATTGCTGATAAGCGGCCTCGTAATTCATTCACAAGCCTTGAAGTTTGTAAACAGTAAGCCCATATGCAGGTACGGGCTGAAAACTGCAGTGCTTGTCTGCAGGAGTCTAGCATCGCACCACTGATCATGGGTGCAATGCTTTCCAAGCTCCTTAGGGAAAAAATAATCAATGGACATTTTTTTTCTTTCTTCAAAGATATGTGCATTTATTTAAGGTGAACTTATCTTTTAAAGTGGACCTAAACCCATTGATATATATACAATGGGGATCGAAAGTTTGGGCACCCCAGCTAAAAATTTGTATTAATGTGCATAAAGAAGCCAAGGAAAGATGGAAAAATCTCCAAAAGGCATCAAATGACAGATTAGACATTCTTAGTTAGAATATGTCAACAAAAGTTAGATTTTATTTCCATCATTTACACTTTCAAAATAACAGAAAACAAAAAATGGCGTCTGCAAAAGTTTGGGCACCCTGCAGAGTTAATATCTTGTACTGCCCCCTTTGGCAAGTATCACAGCTTGTAAACTCTTTTTGTACCCAGCCAAAAGTCTTTCAATTCTTGTTTGAGGTATCTTTGCCCATTCTTCCTTACAAAAGTCTTCTAGTTCTTTGAGATTTCTGGGCTGTCTGTCACGCACTGCTCTTTTAAGGTCTATCCATAGATTTTCAATTATGTTGAGGTCAGGAGATTGTGAAGGCCATGGCAGTTTACGCCTCTTGATGTAATCCCCCGTGGATTTCGAGGTGTGTTTAGGATCATTATCCATTTGTAGAAGCCATCCTCTCTTTAAACTTCAGCTTTTTCACAGATGGCATCAAGTTACCATCCAAAATTTGATGAAATTTTATTGAATCCATTTTTCCTTCTACTCGTGAGATGTTCCCTGTGCCACTGGCTGCAACACAACCCCAAAGCATGATTGATCCAACCCCATGCTTAACAGTTGGACAGAGGTTCTTTTCATTAAATTCTGTGCCCCTTCTTCTCCAAACGTACCTTTGCTCATTCCGGCCAAAAAGTTCAATTTTAACCTCATCGGTCCACAGAACTTGTTTCCAAAATGCATCAGGCTTGTCTATATGTTCATTTGCAAAGTTCAAACGATGATTTTTGTGGTGAGGACGTAGAAGAGGTTTTTTTCTGATGACTCTTCCATGAAGACCATATTTGTACAAGTATCTCTTTATAGTGGAATAGTGTACAACAACTCCAGTGTCTGCCAGATCTTTCTGGAGGGATTGTGCAGTCAAACGTGGGTTTTGAATCGTTTTTCTCACAATCCTGCGAGCTGTTCTGTCTGATATTTTTCTTGGTCTTCCAGATCTTGCTTTAACTTCCACTGTTCCTGATGACTGCCATTTCTTAATTACATTCCGAACAGAGGATTTTGACATCTGAAAACGCTTTGCTATCTTCTTATAGCCTTCTCCAGCTTTGTGAGCGTCAACTAGTTTCAGTTTTCTAGACAACTGCTTAGAAGAACCCATGGTGCTGATTGTTTGGGCATTTAAAACCTTTGAGATTGACATCACCTGGTCTTCCCAGACGATGATTGGGAACAATCCATGACACTGGCAGGTCTCAGCTTGGCAAAGGGGGCAGTGCATGCTATAAATTCTGCAGGGTGCCCAAACTTTTGCAGACGCCATTTTTTTGTTTTCTGTTATTTTGAAAGTGTAAATGATGGAAATAAAATCTAACTTTTGTTGACATATTATAAGAATGTCTAATCTGTAATTTGATGCCTTTTGGAGATTTTTCCATCTTTCCTTGGCTTCTTTATGCACATTAATACAAATTTTTAGCTGGGGTGCCCAAACTTTCGATCCCCACTGTATATATAATTATTTTTTTTTAAATAAGCAGAACTAAAGGTTAAAAATGCCTACCTTAGTTCCAACAATCCGATGCCCGTGAAGTCCCTCGCTGTTGCTGACATCTTCTCTCCAGCCATCTTGATTTGCCAGTGCAGGAGGAGTTTACTCCTACTCATGCACAGGAGTGTGCCAGAAGATAAACTGAGCTGCACATGTTCACAACAATTTTTTTTTTTTTTTTTTGTAGGGGGGTTTCTGTATAGTCCCATGCAGAATATGTACACTCAGCTCCAAAGAAAGTTATTAGGAGTGTACTTCCAAAAGCCATTGTCTTCATTCTCCTTGCATCTCGCAGTCAAACTTCCAAAACAGAACTGAAGCTGGTGGTTGTGCGAACCCCCCCTTTTTTTTTTTTTTTTTTCAGTAGATTATAGACAGAAGCTGCTGTCCTAGTGCAGTACTGGCTTGACTTTGTTTTCAAACTGAGATTGCATTAGAATTGTGAGGTTTATTAAGGTGGGGCAGGTAGTCCACTCCAAGGTTTCATTTTCTTGTGTGAAATGTGAGTGCAGTGGATTACATTGAATCTGGAATATAGTGAACTGAGGAACTTTCTAACTCTAGTTAAGTTGCCATGTTTACTGGATAGAATTAGAAGCTTCACCGATTTGGTTTTTATAGTGGCCTGGAATTTCTCTTGAATGCTGCAGTTCCCATACACTTTGTTGCCTCCCTAGCACTCCCAAACATTTATTGCAGCTTTCAGCATGTTTTTATGGGATCACTAACTGCATATATGCCTTAGCATTACTCCACTGTTCAGTGTAAATAATGTTTTGTTTTGTTTTTTTTCAGTATTTGTTACAAAATGAAAGTAACGGAATAATTTGTTAGGTTTCATTTTTATTTTGTTATATTTTACTTGATGTGTGCATGGCTACACTCAAATTCACTTGGCTTACCAGAAGTGAGGCAGGTCATGTGAACTTCTTCAAAGTTAGTTGATGTAGACAAAGAAGGAATTCTTGCTAACCCAAATAAAAGCTATAATACAAACTTTTTTAATATTGATGATAACCTGCGCTAAATGCGAAACATATAGCGAAACAGCAGCTGTCAAAAAATAGAGGCAACATACAATAAAATTAAGAGAACAATATGCAGCGATAGTTCACCCCACATATACATAAGACGTATAATAAAAATATGTAAGCAAATAAAGTCCTCAAAATAAGTCCATGGTGTGTGACTGAAAATAATATAAAACCCATATCCACGGGAAGAAACTGTGCCACAAAAGATCCTCCACCTCCAACACTCACAGCATCTTACTAGAAAACATGACCACAGGAAGCGGTCAAAAAGGTCGCCTCCCCAGTTTGCCGGCTCCACCTCGGAGGACATAGCCTCGGCCAAGGAGAAGCACTCTGTCTTTGTGGCTGAGAGTAATGTGGAAAGAACAGCACAGCAATATTGGAGTCTATTCTAATGTCAAGACATTTTCAATACAAGTGTGTTGACAACTACAGTGAGTAGCAGTGAAAAACTTTGGTGGAGAAGATCCGTTCTAGAGTCCTTGCCTTCAGAGATTCCCTATATATGCAGTTTTTACCGCATAACCGGTGGTCATGTTTTCTGGTAAAAGGCTGTGAGTGTTGGCGGTGGAGGATCTTTTGTTCTCTTTTGTGGCACAGTTTCTTCCCATGGATATGGTTTTTATATAATTTTCAGTCGCACACCATGGACTTATTTTGAGGACTTTATTTGATGACATTTATTTATTTCAGGTACTTATATAGCGCTTTACAACATATATATTGTACATTCACACCAGTCCCTAACCCTCAAGGGGCGTACAATCTAAGGTCCCTAACTCACATTCATACATACACATACTAGGGCCAATTAACCTACCAGCATGTCTTTAGAGTGTGGGAGGAAACCAGAGTACCTGGAGGAAACCCACGCAAGCACAGGGAGAACATGCAAACTCCATGCAGGAGGCGCAATGGTCGGGAATCGGACCCATGACCCATTTACTGCAAGGCAGACGTGCTAACCACTAAGCTACTGTGCCGCCCCATGACATATTTTGATTATATGTCTTCTGCATATGTGGGGTGAACTATCGCTGCATATTGTTTTCTTATAATACAAACATGCTTTCATTTTCAATACAGGCATTAAACTATTTCAGCATGAATTATTAATTATAATACATTGCAGCCATTTATCCATTATTCTCCATCATTGTCAATTTTCAATTGTACATGTTGACTTTTTTTCAGGACCTTTGTAATTACTAAACATTTGGTTGTTTAATTTTACCACTCCAGGTCAGCAGCAAGGAAGTGAAGGTGTCAAAGTACAGCAAGCTACTATAGCCTCTATTGCTGTTGGAGGGCTTACCAATGCCACCATTGGTGCTGTCAGTCCTGATCAAATATCACAGGTGCAGCTTCAACAGTCTCAGCTATCATCAGATCAAGAGGTACAGACTGGCAAGAGACTGAGAAGAGTTGCGTGTTCCTGTCCCAACTGTAGAGAAGGGGAAGGAAGGTAAGCCTTTTGACAGAGCTCAGAGAACTTTGTTATGGTATTTTGGACAAAAGGAGTGTGTGTCAAAAGTGTTATTTAATGGGCATCCCAAAACCAAACAGTCCAAGTGTTGAGGGTGAATATATTGCAAAAATTATACTTCATATATAAATGTTATTATTGCCACATCCAAGAATTGGTGTATTCCATAAAGTTAAAAATAACCATCAGAGAGCTGACCATGGAAGGAAAAAAAAGATTACGATTATTACCAGCCAAATTTTGAATAATAGCAAAAAAGTAATGTTTATTTAAAGACATTTTAAAACCATTCAACATTATGAGAATGCAATTAAGCTGTTGTATTACTGTCTACATATGCACAGCTATCTTTTGTCATTCCACACTGTCATTAAAATCCTTAGTGCATATGATGTGTATCACTGGAAAGATGCTTTCACATACAAATGTGTGTTCATGCGGGCTCAGTATTACATTTTAAGTAATTTTTAACTGCGTGTCAAAAATAGAACATATGCCTGAAGTCCACTTTATGATCCTCTCCTTTTAAGACCCCTAGCTCTGTGTCTGTAGTATATCTCCTCTCTTGAAAAAGCTGATTCTCCTGATGAAACATTACATGTTATTTTGGAGACTAGACCCAGCACAGGAACGATTGATACATGAATTACTGACCATCTCAGATGTAAGCTGTACTGCCAAATGCAAGTAGTGTATGTATGTGGAACTAAGTGGACAAATGTCTGTTTTCTGGAGGAGCCTTATTAGGAGGCGCGACATGTGCAGGTGAGTCAGAGTGGGAAAAAGATACCTTGATCTCCCATGTCCACTAGCCCTCTTGGAAGCTATTAAAAATGCCAAGATTGAGTTGCAAAACAAGGACATCACTTGTTACAAAAACTTCCAAAACAAGGGTCAGAAACAGTAGTGTATAAGGCATGTATGTTTTTGGACCCTCGCTGAGTGCTAACTAAGCACCGGGAATAAAAAAAAAAAAAAAAAAAAAAAAAAAAAAAAACTTTGAGCTGAATGGCACATGTACTGTGAAAAAGTATTTGTTCCCTTCCTGATTTTTTTTTTTTTTTTTTTTTTTTTTTTTTTAATATTTGTCACAGTTAAATGATTCAGATCATCAAACATATTGTAATATTACACAAAGATAACCTGGGTAAATATAAAATGAAGCAATTGCCCCACCCTGGCTAAATCATGAATGAACTGTGATTAACTACATTTTTTGTTTTTTTTGGAAAAAAGTTAAATTTCAGTTGCCACGCCCAGGCCTGATTGCTGCCAGACCTGTTGAATCAAGAAATTACTTAAATAGAAGCTGTCTGACAAAGTGAAGCACGCTAAAAGTTCTAAAAAGCTACACATCATGCCACGATCTAAAGAAATTAAAAAATACATGGAAGTAATGGACATGTATCCTTCTGGAAAGGGTTAAAAAGCCATTTCTAAGGCCTTGGGAATCCAGCGAACCATTGTGAGGGCCAGTATTGTCAAATGGAGAAAACTTGCAACAGTGGTGAGCCTTCCCAGGAATGTCTGGCCTGCCAAAATTACTCCCAAAAACATGACAACAACTCATCCAGAGGGTCATAAAAGAACCTAGAACAACATCTAAAGAACTGCAGGCCTCAGTTAAGGTAAGCATTCATGATTCAACAGTAAGAATAACACTGGGCAAACATGGCCACCATGGGAGAGTTCCAAGGCAAAAGCCACTGCTGACCAAAAAACACAAAGGCTCGTCTTGCATTTGCCAAAAACCTTCTTGATTATCCCCAAAACTTTTCGGCAAATATTCTGTGGACTGATGAGACAAAAGTTGAACTTTTTGGAAGGTGTGCGTCCCGTTACATCTGGCGTAAAACTAACATGGCATTTCATTAAAGAAAAAAGTACCAACAGTCAAACATGGTGGTGGCAGTGTGATGGTCTGGGACTGCTTTGCAGCTTTGGGACCTGGATGACTGCCATAATTGATAAAACCATGAATTCTGTGCTGTACCAGAAAATCCTGAAAGAGACTGGGCAGCCATCAATTTGTCATCTCAACATCAAGCATACTTGGGTTATGCAGCAGGACAATAATCCAAAACACACCAACATGTCCTCTTCTGAATGGCTAAAAAAAAAAAAAAAAAAATGAAGGTTTTGGAGTGGCCTAGTCAAAGTCTATACTTAAATCTGATTTGAGATGCTGTGGCATGACCTTAAACAGGCCATTCATGCTCAAAGACCCTCTAATGTGGCTGAATTAAAACAATTCTGCAAAGATGAGTGAACCAAAATTCCTCCACAGCGATGTGAAAGACTCATTGGCAGTTATCGCAAATGCTTGATTGCAGTTGTTACCGCAAAGGGTTGCACAGCCAGTTATTAGGTTTAGAAGGCGATTACTTTTTTGCATAAGGCCAGACAGGATTGGACAGCTCATTTTTCCCTTAATAAATGATAGCATCATTTAAAAACTGCATTTGTATTTAGTTGGGTTATCTTTTGTTTAATATTAAAATTTGTTTGATCTGAATCATTTAGGTGTGACATATATGCAAAAAAAAACTTTTAGGAGTTGCAGTATTCATTATTAGTCCTTAATTAAAGGAGACTGCTTTGACTGTTACTGATGCAATGCGCATAATTTTAAAACTGGAGGATCAGCCTGATGCTTCCACCAATTCTGTTTCCAGTCTTGGATTGGTTAAAACTCCTAAGGCTGCAAATCTTTCCCTTTGCAACCGCTTTTCCAGCTTGTTCTCTTGGAAGCACTGTAATAAGTTGACTGCTTTCCCCAAGCATTTGCTATATTTGTATCTGTTTTGTGAACATTCCTTGATCAAAGGACCCTGTTCAGAAGTGGACTTTTCCCACTGTGGATCCGGCTGTGTCTCACAATAACCTGAAGATAACCATACCAGAGGATGCATGTGTCTTTAAAGACTCAACAGGCAAGTAGTTGGAAGCCCTTTTAAGAGCTCTGTTCTTGTTGGTGGATGCCAGTTATTGCTGTGACTACTTTTTTAAAACCGTGTCTGACTGGTCAAAATCTGACTGCTGCAATTGATTCATTACTCTTGAAAAACCTAAGGCAGATGGCTGTAGTGCTAACTGTTAGATTTGACACTTTACTGGAAGTTTCCCATCCCATGTACCTCATGTTGGTGCATATCTGTAGAGCACTTTCTCTAAAGTGCTAGACTGCGGAACCTTTTGTGCGCGTTTTTGATCCACATGACCTTTTTAAGGGCAATGTGTATTCAAACCAGTTGTTGATAACATTATCAAGGATGCTGTTTGTGGCAAAAGATCCCATCTTCTCCAATGTAAGAAGTCTCAGAAGCAGACTTCAAAGTCATCCCCTTCTCTCTTGGTCAAATAATATCCCCTTTGTTTCCCCACTACCTCGACTTCAATATCCAGATTCCCTCTAAGGTTCCCGATGTACCTGCAAAGTCTGACATTCATGTCTTCCAAATTGTCAGACAAACCCATCCTCTGCATGAAGGTGTGCCTACACTTCCCAGGGTATGGGGATGTCTTTTGACTTTTTTTGGACACTTGACAGCTTGCATTCCAGGTTCCTGCATGCAGTAGGTAGTGTCAAAGGGCTGCAAATTTGAGATTCTCTCCATGCCCCCTCCTTCTTTTCTCTCTTTCAGTATTTCTGTGTCTCCACACAGACTAGCAGGTTTCATCGAGCCCCCTCTGATCTTCTGGATCTAGGTGTCTTTTTCCAAGTCCCAGTGGCAGAATGTTTGCAGGGGCTTTACTCCAACCTGTCCACTGTTTCCAGACCAAAAGGGGGCATGTGTCCCATCTTGGATTTCAAGGCTCTGAATATTTTAGATTTGTAACCAAAAATTCTGATAAATTCTGGTGAAGCCTCTTCTCTGCACCTAAGGTGTTCACCAAGGTGCTGGCTCCAGTGTTTTCCCTGTTATGTTCCCTTGAGATCATCATTGTGGAATACTTGGATAACTTTCTGTTGAAGAGACAATTGGTCAGGGCTCTGTTGGACAACTTATCTAACTGTCAAGACATTAGAAGTTCAGGTGGGTCCTAAACCTTCAGAAACTGTTGCTGGAACCAGCTTACCACATGGAGTGTCTGGGTCTAGTTCTGGAAACTTCTCAGAGTTTTCCTTTCACAAGAGAAATGTCCAGTTTCCAGCCTTGGGTTCAAACTCTTTATTCCAGAAGCTACCTGACCCTCTAATTTAAGATGGAGAACATTCCTGTAATTCTCATTGCTGCTCCAGACTGGCCCTGGTGAATGTGGTACATCTACCTGGCAAGACATCTGGCAGATGATCTGTGGACACTGCCAGATTGTCAACATATTCTGACCAAAGGACCGATTTATTCTGCTTCTGTTCACTGACTTGCTTGTGGAAGCTCAGGTGTTAAGGGACAGGGGCATCTCTGACCGTGATTCCTATATTGTTTTTCGCCAGGAGGTCTACTATCATTGGGTGTGGAAGGCTTACCTCACTTAGTGTAATTTGTGGGACCTTCACACTTGACATTCTCCCTAGGATGAATTCTCTACTTCCTGCAGCTGGGTTTGGAGTAGCATTTTGATCTTGGCACTATCAAAGATCAGGTTTCTGCTCTTTCCATTCTGTCTCGGAGACCTGATGTTCTGTCATAGTTTAAGAGCTTTGATCAGAAGTTTCCCATGTTGCCCTTCCCGTATGTTCCTAAGTGACTCTCTGGGATCTGAATCTGCTTCTCTTTGTGCTTCAAAAACCATGGTTTAAAACTATGAGAAACATTCCTTCTATTGCCCTTGCCAACAAGATGATATTCCTTGTAGCCAACAATGATTGTCTGTCTTAACTGGTTGACGTTTTATGCAAAGAATCCTTTTTGGTCTTGCATACGTACAAGGTGGTGTTGAGGCCCAGGATACTTCTTGCCTAAAGATAGTTTTGTTCATTTCACCTCCACCAAGGTAATGTCCCAACCAATTCATCAAAAGGAAAATTCCCTCCATTGTCTTATGGTTTGGGCTGTGTGTGTGTGTTTTATTTCTCAGCCACTGCTTCCTTCAGAGTCCCCTTTTAGGTTATCCCAGTTGGACTCTGGAAACCTGGGTTCCCTGGCTTCTTGCTACACCATCTCTAGGCGGCTCAGACAGACCATTCATTAACCTCAAAGATCAGGTTCTACTATTTTATGTCAAGTAGCACACTGCTGGATCTGTGAGTGCTTTAGGCTTTTTGGCATCAAGCAACTGTTCCCCAGATTTGTAAGGCTTCCACCCACCTTTTATGTGTGTGGTATCTTGTAAAGAAATTTTCAAACTCCAAGCCCTTCAAGAGACAATGGCCAACCATAAAGTTTTTTTTCTTTTCATCAGGGATGTTTAGTGGTGGCAAGAGTACTCCTCTTCCCCAGCAGAAGAAGCCTAAAGAACAGACAGCAGAGGCATCATTCTGACTGTCAGGAAGCATTCCTTTTTAGTTTCTCCTTTCTGTCAACGTTGAGACTCTCCAAACTTGGCTGCCTGTCCTCCCACAAAGTCTGGAACTCCAAGTCTGCCAAATCTTTAGCATTTAATCTTGTGTTCCAAATGCTTGGGTGTGGGAGGTGGTGTCCCAGGGCCACAAACTCTTCATTCCCTGCCCCCTCCTTGCTTCTAACTGTCCGTATCTTCTCACAGACTGTCAGATTTCCATTAGGCTTTTACTGGTCTTCTGGACCAAGTTGTCCTAGATCATGTCCCAAATGTGGAGCATTTCGAGGTCTTAACAGAGTTTTCTTCAACCTGTCCGCTCTTCCAAAACTCAGAGGGGGCATTTTGTCCCATTTTGGACCTCAAAGCCTTGGTTGTCTTCATTGGTGTCCACAAATTCTAGTTGAAATTGTTTAGATCTGACATTGATTCAGTTTATCAGGAAGGCTTTCTAGCTTCTATGGACATAATGTTTGCTCCTTTTTTTTGTGTATGTTTTTTGTATCCATCTTTTCACCACACAGGCATTTTCTGAGGATTGTTGTAGGGCCTCTGCACTATCAGGTCATGGCCTTGCCTATCCACCTCTCTTTTGACACTTAAAGAGTTTACCAAGGTGCAGACTTTGTTGTGCTATTGTTACATCCTAATTTTGGGATACTCCTCTTGAAGAAACAGTCTACTAGGGCTCTGTCAGACAGTGTATCTGTACAGACTATAGAGGTTTGAGTGGATCTCAAAACGTTTTTGAAGTTTTCACTGGAACCGACCCATTGCTTGAAGTATCTGGGTCTGGATACCCATCAGGCCAGGTTGTTCCTTCCTTTCCCAGGGATAAAAAAGCTTCAGACTCTCTCATATTTCAGGTTTAAACTCTTCAGTCCAAGAATTTTGCATGAGAGTCTTGGGGCTGATGATAGCTTACGTTTTGAGGCAGTTCCCTTTTTGTCCAATTTCACTCCAGACCTATTCAGTGCAATGTTCTCTCATTGTAGGACAAGCATTTCCTGTCTCTGGACAGGCTGATTCAGTCACTGGAGTACTGGCACTGAGTACTTGCTTATCCCTGGTAGCTCAGAAATCTGGCTCCTTAATGGGAAGTCCTTTCTTCCTTTTCCTTCTTTTCTTTTGGAAGAGTCTCATGATGGATATTGGCCTATTTGGTTGCAGTGGAGTTCTGGGCACCTTGTCAGCACGGGAAACTTGGTTGTTGGAGGAATCTTGTCTCATGAGCAGGTGATTTGTCTAACCTTTCAACATTATACCAACCTATTGGAGGACCATCCGATCTGAATTCAATTGGACCACACTGTAGCAATGACGTACATCAGCCATCAGGGAAGAAACAGAAGTCTAGCTGTGGCAAGAGGGGTAGAGGGGATCTTGTCATGGACAGAACTGCATGCTCCAATCTTGTTAGCTGTGTACATCCCAAGTGTAAATAATTGGCAGGCAGATTTCCTCAGGAGGCTGCATCTGGACCCAGAAGAAGTGGTCTTTACATCCAGAGGTGGCTTAAACAGAACATCATTCAAGCTTATAGTCTCAGGGACTGGGTTCCACCCTTTCCTTTTTAGGGCTCCCTCCACTAGATCTATAAGCGCCTCTTGGGCTTTTCAGCATTGGGCAACTGTTTCTGAGATCCACCCTGTATTCTGTTCACAAGCTCTCAAAGTTCTTCCGGGTGGATGTTTCTGCCTCATCTGATGCCAGGTTCAGCTGTAAGGTCCTTCAAGCAGTCCCCATCGCCTGTTTACATTGGGTCTGTTAGCAATTGTGTGCTTTGTTTCCCACCTTTTCAAGTTGTCTTCTTTTGGACACCTCAAAAGTTTAGGATTTCATGTATCCCTCAATGAAGGAGAAATGGTAAATTCGGATTTTTGTACTTGTCATGAAATCTTTCTTTCGGTGTCCATTTGGGGATACAGGTCCTAGTCCTCTGTGTTTTATGATCATGCTGTCAGTACTGTCTTGCTTCAAACCTGAGGCATGCTGGTAACAGGAGGGGTTATAACTTGAGCTGACCAAGAGTTCTTTTGTTTGCTAGTGGTTGATCCTCCTGTAGGCAGCAGTATAACACTGAGGTTTAAGTTTTCTTGCATCCCTCAATGTACTCCAAGAAAAGCATTTTAAAAGGAGTACCAAAAGCCTATTTTTTGCTCTTAATTGTAGTATGGTGGTGAAAGGCAGAAACACCAACTTGATAAGAGCAGAAATAATGCTAGAATTTTTGATAAAACTAGTAGCCAGTCATTCGTTTACTCTTTTGCTCTGGATACAAAGAGCTTATGTAAACTAACAAGAGTTGCTTAGGGAAATACATGGGCAGAAATCAGTCGATGGTACACAGTGGTTCCTGTAATGTCGAAGTGTAGACCTTGCCAAATTATGTCAGACTGGAGATATCGTGGCTTACCCCAGTAGTTTGATTTCTTCTAATCAGAAGATCTATTCAATGCTGGTAGCAATAAAACCACCAAGTGGATTGATCTTTCATACTGTTGTCAATAGCAGACTACATGGCTCACACCAGTAGAGTAATATTTTAAAGTCACTCAATATCTGAACCTCATGACAGACTTTTTCCCCATAGGCAAAATATGCTTCAGACCACAAGACTCAGAGTCTGGGAAAAATTCCAAGAACATGACAGTGCATTTAACCTAATGTAGTATAATTTAGACCTTCCACATATCAATCCAATCAAGCTTGTGTGGTTAGAGGAAAAAGCTATCAAGAGTGAAGCTAATTTGCAGCACCAAAAGTCTATAGTTGAAGTGGACCAATTGATCCCTTCCAACTTTCAAAGCCATACTCTGTTTAAAGCTGGATACATACAATAAGATTTTTATTAGTTGTAAAAATGTTGCAGACAAGTATAAAATAGGTTGAACAGGTAATCTACCTAAATATAATATTACATCTTGGTTGACACTTGGTCAGTGTGTACAGCAGCCTGTCCAAGACAAGCCAGTCTAACAATTGGCTTTTGTGCACGGCAAATGCTGGAAAACCAGCATCCGATCAGCGCTCGTCAGAAAACCAAAGGTGTACAGCACAGGAGATTGCCTGCTAGCAGTGTGTGTGTGTGTGTGTGTGTGTGTGTGTGTGTGTGTGTGTGTGTGTGTGTGTGTGTGTGTGTGTGTGTGTGTGTGTGTGTGTGTGTGTGTGTGTGTGTGTGTGTGTGTGTGTGTGTGTGTGTGTGTGTGTGTGTGTAAAAATAAGCTGTGTGTACTCGGCTTAAGAGAGAAGTTCACCTTTTGTAACATGTTACACATTACACCCATATTCAGGGTGTAACATATTACAATCTGACTGCCCCCCCAATCCCTGTTTTGACAGCTAGCAAGGTATCTTCTCCCTCCCCGCTAGCTGTCAAATTTTTTTTTTTTTAAATGTGGCCATGTAGGGCCCCACCTGGCCGCGTCACTCATACACAGTATTCTGTGAATGAGAGACTACAGGCCCCGACAGCCTTAACAACTGTCAGCTTGTAGTCCTCCGTGAACTACCACAGTGCTGTGGAGCGCCATGGTAGTTCATTGATTCTTCCTGTCAATATATCTGCTTGACCATACATACTGTACCAGCAAGCAGATTTTCTTGCAGGTCTGCAGGAGACCTGCATGACACCAGCGATCTGCTGACCGCTGGTGCAGTGCTTTACAGGTTCCTGCAGACAAACATAATAAATGCCCTTTTTTTTTTTTTTTTTTTTTTTTTTTTTACCTGCAAAAAAAATGTGTATTTATTTTATTTTTTACTGAAGGGTGAATATATCCTTTAAGTGTGCATGTATGTGCCTTGACTCATGTAGTGTGTGTGTGTGTTTGTTTTTTTTCATTTCATTTTCTTTTAATGAGAGGGATCCTAAGGTCTTTAGTGACAAGGTGGCAATTTTGTGCTGCCCTATACAGATAGCCCGTCCCATTATATCAGTCATTATCAATAATGGTGGAAAGAGACTATCAGTCAATGGTTATCCTTGCGCTAAAGCTCAAATCCAGCCATTTTTGACACATACAGCAAGAGAAACACATTTCTTTATCATAGTAAACCATTAGAGCTGCTCAAATTTATTTAATTTTTTTTTTCCTGTGTGCCCCTACTGGAGGTTTGTCCCCTCACTTCCGATCCTGCTGATGCTTTCTGTTTTAGGACATGATTTAGGATGTTTAGTGCCATTGGAATTGGCAGCTCCATTCAGCTGCAGACTCAGCAGGGTGTGCTGCCTTAGACCTTGGCCTTTTGAGGGTGGGAATGATGTAGGAATTCCCACTCTCTGTATCTGAGGTTCAAGATGGCACCAACAGCAGTTTATATCCTGGAATGGGTTGATTCAGTACATTTTTCAGCTTCTCTGATAACCTGTTTGTCTATTTTTTTTTTCCAGAGCAAACAGTGAACCAGGCAAGAAAAAACAGCACATATGTCACATTGAAGGATGTGGAAAAGTGTATGGGAAAACATCCCATCTCCGAGCACATCTTCGTTGGCACACTGGAGAACGACCTTTTGTATGCAACTGGATCTTCTGCGGCAAGAGGTTTACCAGAAGTGATGAGCTACAGAGGCACAGAAGAACCCATACAGGTAAACTGGATTCCTTTTTTTTTTTTTTTTTTCTTTTATTCTTGTTCCTGTTCCAAGGTACCCAGCGCCATTCCTACTGTGTTGGAATGGCGCTGGTTACCTTTATAAGGGAAAAAAATGTGCATAACCATTTGTGCAGTCCACAAAGAGGAAAGTAGAGCCTGCATATGCAGTGATATGGCTTACCCCATGAATATAAATATACAATTACAAACTGTTCATAGTAACAAGTTTTTATATAATGACACAGATAGTAAAATCATCATGTATCCTTTCTTGAAACTGTCTTGGTATCGGCCTAGTGTGTCCTGTACAGAAACAACCAGACTGAAAAACAGTGCCAGCACTAGTTGCCAGTAAGCAACATGTACCAGGACAGAGGGGAAGAGAGACAAGTTTGCTGCTGTTGCTTCATTGTTCAAACAGTGCAGCTTTTGATCAATGTTCCTGCAACAGTGGAGGTTGAAGATGTCAGTGTGCTGGAATTACAGAACAGCTGCACAGCTCAAATATGTATTTCAACTGTTTTATTTAGCTACTTGTATGGTGTTCCGTTTAACAAACAAAAAAAAAAAAAATTGCAGTTCCCAAGTAAGTGTAGAACACTAATAATGCTTAAGAACAGGCAACAAATGTACCTTTTTAAACCCTTGACGCCGATCGCACGCAAATATGCGGCTTCTCGGCGTCTGGGCCGCATATTCGCGTGTAATTAAAAAATACATATGTGCTGAAAGCTCACGCCCTGTGCGCTCCCAACACATATGTCCGCTACTCCCAGAAAGGTCCTGGTCTCCCTTTTCGATCGGGACCTTTTTCTGATCATGTGATGGTGAATCACGGCGGTCACATGACCTTAAAACCTCACCCCGCCTCCCAACTTCTGAAACTCTTAAAGGACCTGGGAGGCGCCGGCGTCAAGAGGTTAAATAACTCCAGATAAATTTTAATGTACCTAGCAAGCGCAGTAATATGCTCCATATCCTTCAAAAAACTTTTATTTTTTATTAACAAAAAAAAATGTACCTAGCGAGCTTCCCAATTTACATGTAAGCTTTAATTTCTTCTGTGCCACAGAGCTAAGCCCTTCTCCATCTTTACATCTAATAACATTTAAGTGAGCCCTTGGAGATGAGAGCAGCTAGCACAAAAGGTGGTCGTACAGACCTCTTTAAATAACTAAATGAAAACAGTGTAGCACTTTTATACAGTATATACAAATAAAATGAACATAAATAAAGTATCATTTTAACCTTTTAAGTAACTAACTCAATTTATAACATTTGTATCGTGCTTTTTCTGCATTTTTGATATTCTGTCTCTATCAATTAAAATACACCTATGATAAAAATCATAGACCCTTTTATTTGTTTGTAAGAGGGCTAACTTACAAAATCTGCAGGGGATCAAATAGTTTTTTTCCCCCACTGTAGATCAAACATTCACCCAGAGCTGTCAATGGGAACTGCAGGTACTCTCCACTCAGGAAAGCTTCACTTCAAACAAGAGCTGTATAAAATAAGCTTACCGCATGCAGCCCAAAATTTTGCTATATAGTGTTATATTTATTACTCAAGAGATCATTACACCATTAATTAAAGAGATCATAACACCAAATGGATCCAATTAAAAACATACGCTTCATATAGCAGCATGTAAAATGTAAACAAACTTGGCTGGACTTAGATGGCCAACGTCCCGGAACCTGGAAGCGACAGCTTGATGTCCGCTTGTAGGCATTCCACACACTAGCCCTTCTCTGCCTTTTAGATGAACTCAATCAACTGTTAAGTGTCAAAGCCTTAACCACTTCCCGACCGGCCGTTGCATATAAACGGCTGGACGGTGGCAGTGCAGAGTCGGGTGGCCGTTTGTAAGCGGCCTCCCCGCACCCTGCTTGTGCGTGCTCCCTTGGACACAGTGAAACTCCGATCGTCGGACGGGACCTTTATATGAGGTCCCGATCATGTGATCACTGATTGGCCAATCAGTGATCACATGCAAAGTAGTAAGCAATGGGGTCACTTGTGACATCATTGCTTACTATGTGTGAAATCTCTGAATGATCACAGAGGTCACATGGTACAAGGCTATTAACAACAGCCTTGTACCATGTGACAAGCTGTGACCAATCACAGCTCACTCAGTACTTTTCAATGAGTGCAAGAATGCACACAGAGAGAAAGAGAAATGATTGCTTTTACATCCTATATGGGTGTAAAAGCAATCAGTGTAAAAAAAAAAAAAAAAAAAAACATCACCCCCCACAAGTAGTACAGTGTCACCATGGTGACACTGTACTGCCAGGGTGACAGTATGTAAAAAAAAAAATAAATAAATAAAAAAATCTGTCCTCTGGGGACAGATTAGGAATGAAAGCCGGCGTTTCACACGGCTCCCTGGGACGCCGGCCGGCTTCCCCTTCTCCCAACACTGCTCCGCGGCAACCCACGTGGGCACGCCGCCTCTCTTTGTCTCCTGGCAACCCTACACTTCCTCCGCCATTGCCGCTGTCAGATCTCAGGGGAGCGGGAGCCTCGTCACCTCGCTCCGGACAGACCACCACATCACCGCCAGGACCCTCCTTCCATGCAGGTTAGTCTCCTGCCGCCCTCCAGCACAGCTATTTTAGGGTCTTCTAAGACACTTTAGGGAGGATAGGTGGGGGAGGCTAACGGAGAGTGCTTACTCCACACTCTCCTGTGCCGCCTTGTTCAGGCTCCACCCCTGCCCCTCTATCTCCTTTCTAGATTTCCTCACTTGGTTTAATACATTTCTAAGATAGCAAAGTGTTTGCTGGTACCTTGTGGGACTTTCAGTTTCCGGCTCTCTGCTCTGCCCTTCCAGCGCTCACTGGACTGCTGGGCTGTGAAGGAGCAGGTGGGGCTGGCTTGGTGGATCGCCGAGAGGCTGAGCCAGGTGCTGGTCCATGCTTCTTGTCGGATCCTGAGCCTAGACCAGCTGAGTGACATCAGCCGAACGGGTCACAAGAGTGTAGCTTTGGCTATACTTCTCTTGTTTAACCTGGTTATCATGTCAATCTTTGTCCTGTTGGGCCCCCAGATCTCAGACTCTGGTAGCACATGAAACCTCGACTTTTGCTGATCTGAGATTAAACTTTGGCAATCTTAATTTCGATTTAGTTTGAAGTTGAGATTCCATGCACAGCTTGTTCCTAGGACACAAGTGGCACATCATAGGATCAATCTGAAGAATACTCAGGTACTTGCCACGGTTTTAACAGTGCATTTACAATAAGGGGAGAGCAGAGAGTTGACCTCATCAATGTATTGATGGTTCTTCATTGTCCAGTCACAGGCTGGGGATTAGTCTTGGATCAGGCTGTATTGAATCCAGGCCTTTTTTAAAGCAATCCACTGAGCTGATTATGTGATCACTTATAATATAGGGTATTTATAATGTTTTTTCTTTTATATCTGTACACAAATGTTTGGCCTTTTCATTTCTGTTTTAACCACTTCAATACCAGGCACATTTACCCCCTTCCTGCCCAGGCCAATTTTCAGCTTTCAGTGCTGTCGCACTTTGAATTACAATTGCGTGGTCATGCAACACTGTACCCATAAGAAATTTTTTATAATTTTTTTCACACAAATAGAGCTTTCTTTTGGTGGTATTTAATCGCTGAGTTTTTTTTTTTTTTTTTTTTGCTAAATAAAGTAAGAAATACCTGAAACTATTTTCTTCATAAATGTATTCTGCTATATTTCTTTGGTGAAAATAATAAAAATAATAATTTTAATTTTGTATTTTTTTTTCACATTTTTCTATTTTTTTATTTTTTTTACATTTAATTTTTTTTTTTACTATTTTTGTTTTCAACACACTGTGACCAAAGCATTACAATGTTACCATAGTAACATTGAACTACTCTGGGCAAGTGATCAGGACTTTTTTTTCTTTGTTACATATTATGATTGCTAATGCCAATGTGTTTCATTGATATTTGCAATCATTATTACTGAATGAAACTGATTCATTCAATCTTTTGTTGTGATTAGCTGTGATAGGGCAAAGCTGATCACATGATACAGATGGGCTGTGATTGGCCCTGTCTGTATCATGTGACTGCTTTGACCAGTCACAGCTAACAACATAATTGTATACAATGAATGGCACGATAGGAAGCCATCCATTGTATACAATTGACATGTGATCTGCTGTGATTGGTCACATGACACTGGCAACGGGCCGGTGTAGTGATATGTCATCGGTTGTTTCCTATGGACACAGTCGGTGACAGATCGCACCACGTGAGCGGCTCGTTTTGACAAGACGTCCTGACGCCCAGTCACAATGAGGAGTATCCTGCCCGGCCGTCAATCTGCAATAGGTCCAGGAGGAAGGTGTTAAACTGAATGGGTTGTTTTATAAGGTAATTGTTTACAATCACAGACTATGCTGGCTAAAAAGAATTCCAAATACTTTGGCTGGTAAACCAGTTCCTAGATTGTATTTAGTAATTTGCCTGGAGCCCACCTTTACTTCTAAATGGTTGTGAAATTCTTCTGTATGTTTATTTTTTAGGAGAGAAGAGGTTTGAGTGTCCAGAATGTTCCAAAAGGTTCATGAGGAGCGACCATCTTTCAAAACATGTCAAAACCCACCAAAACAAAAAGGGAGGTGGAACAGCCCTGGCAATTGTAACATCAGGTGACCTGGATGCCTCTGTCACTGGAGTCCTTGGTTCCCCAAGAATTGTTACTGTGGCAGCCATCTCCCAAGATTCAAACCCAGCAACCCCAACTGTTTCTACAAACATAGATGTTCTAGAAGGTGACAAGGACTTGTATCGCTGCACTTAGTTATATCCCTACAGAATTGTGATCTGGTCTGTACATTTCTTTTCAAGAATTTTTTTATTTAAGTTGTTCATCCCCAAAACAGCAGGATGAAGCTGATATATACTAAACTGTGAAAAAATATTCCTTTTTTTCTAATATTAGGCAATATAAATCTGAAAATCAGAGATATTTTACCTGTATCATAAATTCTGCATTTTGTAAAAGCTTCTAAATTTTAACTCTCATTCCTGTTAGCCCTCCCAAACACAACCACTGTTTATGATAGTAAAAATATTGATAGACTCAGGGCCATTAATATTACAAACCTAGTTTGTATAAAGGCCATACAATCAGTTTATTTATGGTAGCATAAAGATTACGCAGTTACCTTTACAAAGATGCGATTTTTGTATAGAGACCTGCTAGTAAAATGTGGGGAAATAGTTATTTATATAGATTTAATGCTATCCTTATGCAAGCTGCGTAGTTTCATACCACCCAAGACACTGAACCCGCTCTAAGCATTTTTTTAATAGCCTTTTGTAGATAAGCATTATTAGGAACCAACATGTACAAACTGCGACAGTCAAGCCTTTCCACATTCCACGCTCTATATATTTTTATTATCATTTTTATATTTACTGTTTTGGAAAGTCCATATACATCAGACGTTTTAGACTTTTAATATGCAAAGTTGATGTAGAAATTACATTTAGAGCAATGTATTAAGGTGTTTGCTTTCATCAAGTAAGTTAACAAAATGGCTATAAAATATGTAAAGCTCATGGCTAGATCAAGAGGTGAGACCTTACAAAAAGGTAATTTTGCCGCTTTTTACAGTTCAAGAAGCACAAAAAACGTATGTAAATTTTACTTTTACCCTCTAATCTTATTTAATTTGTAGGTATATTTGGTTTCGGGGTAAATTTTATAATGGCTTAAATGATCAGTCTAGTATCAACTACCTTATATCTCTAATGCTCACCATACACATTGCAATCTGTACAATCTCCTTTAGCTTTGCCAACAACTGTGTTGTAGAAGGATCTAAATTATTTAGTACAATTTTTTTTTTAGTCATTTTTGTTATCCCTCATATTACATCATTTAGGTAAATGGAAAGGAGCTTGTACAATCAGATTGTAAGCAGCATGGCCTGCTTTAGATTTTGCCATCAAGATCTCCACACTTGGTTCCCAGCTCTGCCTATCTGCTGAGGTACCCCCCAAAGATATACGAATCTAGTAGTTGATACAGCCTGAAAGACTCCTTTGACAACTGATATCAATTACATGAACTTTCATTTTACACTTTCAAAGTAATTGATAGAATGAGCAGAGGAAAATATGTTGTATGAAAACGAAAGATATTTTTTTTTTTTTTAACCCCTCACCTTTACCCTTTTATATCTAATATATGTAAAGTTAATGTGTCAGTTTTTTGGAAAAAGAAATGATGCCACTTCTGACACTGCGTGTGTGTATGTGCGTTTGACAGCGTGTATGTATATATGTATATACAATATATATACACATGCATATTAATTGTTATTTTAATTATTGCAATATAAGTACAGTTTATGGTAAAAGGACAATGCTATTGGTCAAAGCTCCACAAGAATACAGTATTTATTTTCATTCAGTCTAAATCAAATAATTTTCACATTGTGTTAGTAATAATTCCACCCATGTATATAGGAAAGGGCATTGTATTTTGCAAAGATTATTTTAATTTCATATTAGCCAGAGGTGTATATGTGTATATACTATTTACACATGTACCCCAAAGTCTAAAATGTGTAGTTTGCTTGAGATTTTTTTTTTTTTTAATTTGAGCACTTACTGTAGATGTGTGTGTGTGTGTGTGTGTGTGTGCGCGTGTTTTTTGGAACTTGTGACATTAGCTTAGTGAAGTGTTTGTACCCATGCACAGTGATTCCTTCCTAATTCTCATTGCTTTTATTTATACATTGCATTCTAACCTTTTTTTTCCCTCAAGACCAAAAGGACTACAATCCCTAAATTATGTAAGACCGACAATATTAGCCATGTAATCTGATCATGCCTATCACAGTTGTGATGGGCATGTTATCCCGAATTCAGGACAGAAAGTTCACGAAGCACAAAATGACTTCCCTATTGTATATAGGTGCACTTTAATTAAAATTTATCCCTACACAAGCCGAAAATTATATTTTTGGGGAAGTTTAGTACACATACAGCCTACACCTCGACTGATCATGTTGCAAGGAAAGGAGGTTTTTTTTTTTTTTTTTTTAAATATATATATATTTTTTTTTTTTTTATAAATCACTGCATTTTCAGATTGAGACAAATGTAATTTTTAATGTCATTGAGTTACCAAAAAGCGAATGTAGCACTCATCATTAGCAAACGGGAGTGTTTTCCTTTGCAATTAAAGTGCACAATTCGTTAAAAATGAGGCAAAAAATTAAATATAACCCAGTACTTTCTGTCTGTGCAAAAAATAGCACTGCTTAGCCTACACCGAGCCAAAACTTTTTACTAGTGCCATCGGTTTCATTAGATTTGGTCACCCGCTTAGAGCTGGGGATAATATCTGGCCATTATTTTCTCTAAACCAGAGGCTATCTTAAAGTGATACTAAAGGTTCCGATTTTTTAAAAATAATAAACATGTCCTACTTACCTGCTGTGTGCAATAGTTTTCCACAGAGCAGTCCCTTTTCTTGGATCCCCCGCTGATGCTCCTGGCTCCTCCCCCCCTGCGAGTGCTCCTGGAGCAAGTTGCTAGCTCTGGGGGCACTTGTGCGTTCTCACTCCCAAGCCTCTTCTGTGTTTCTATAAAACACACAGATCTGCCTTGCTCCCCCACTGGCTGTGGATGACAGCTGTGGCGCCAATGGAGATATTTTGGGAGAGTCGCTGCTCTCATGCACATCACTGGATCGGGCTCGGATAAGCATTGTGGGGGCTGAGAGAGGAGCTGCATAATGAAGGTTTTCTACCTTCATGCCTAGAATGCATGAAGGCAAAATAACTTCAGCCTTTAGACCCACTTTCAGCTCAGGGGCTGAGGAGCTAGGTTGCAGTTAGTAAATACTGCAGGGGCCCAGGCAATAAATACTTGCTGTTTTACAGGAAAAAAAAAAAAAAAAGGTACTGGGCTGTATGTTAATACAATCTGTCCCATTACCTGTGCCACTGCATTTCACATTCTTGAAGAGCTTAGCTTGATGAAGAATATTTTGTATCTTCTATTTCCAGGTGTGTCCGATACCTAGTACCCCACATCGTGGTATGTCTGATGCCTGGTACCCAGCTGCGTGCTGTGTTTCATTCCCCTGACCCCAACATTACTGTTGTGTCCAGTTGTGATGTAGGGACCAACGGAAGGAACCGTAGCAAGTAGAGGGAGTCAAGGCATCTGACTTTCAGAAGTGACACATTCTGAAGATAGCTCAGCAAACTTATGTTTTCAAGAGAGAAGGGGAGTTTCTTTACTTTGCAGTAAAGATTAGCAACTGAGACTCTTATTTTTGTGGCAGGTAGGTTCACTGTTGGAAATTTGTTTTGTCTTTGTTTTTTTATTTTTCCATTAAATGTGCACTTACTCCTTGTAGTATAACTGCACACTCTCTAAAAAAAAATTGTCATTTGTACAGCCTCCTGAGAAATGCCAATGTGATGTGTTATTTACAAGAACTTCTGTTTCCAACTTTGAGTAAATCCGCTCCATGGATACAAATTGTTTATTCAGCTCAGTCTTGTGTCGGTCTCCTGTCTCCAAACACTGCCTTCTAGCGGTGGCTGGGAGCACCTTGTTTAAAGCAAAGATATATGGGAAAACTCAGACCAAAGTGCTGGAAACAGGACTTTTTCATTAAAGTAATCCAACATATTGACTATTTTCATAGAAAGCAGGGAGAAGTATAATATTTAGTAATAGTACCTGCCACTTGCAAGCCTGAACTTTGGTTCACAGAGCAACATTCTGCTAATTGCACCACAACTTTCATGTAAGAGTGGTCTTTGCTGAAATCATTTTAAAGGTGCAGGTGTCATCCTGATTCTGGCTTTACTTTCTAGCAGGGGCGGACTGACCATTTGGAAACTCGGGCACTGCCCAAGGTCAGTAGGGGGCCCCATGAGATGCCCTTGGTACCTTTTTCATAGGCTTTTTTGAGTTTGGGCAAGGACACAGGAGCCCCATGATCCCCTATTGCCCGGGGGCCCCATGAGTTGTCAGTCCGCCCCTGATTTCTAGTTTCTGAAGTGCAGACCTCACTGGCTGTATGCTTGTACCAGGACAGTAGTGAGGATTCAGAGCCTTTGCCCTTCTTTGGAGACATCTCAGGAGCTTTAAAACCCAAGGGTGCTCTAATATGCCTATAGGTGAGGGCTGGCCTTCCTCCTAGAACTTCTTATTGGTTCTTCAAGTTACGGTGGCCTTAATGGTCCGTAGGGAGTACAGGAGCAGGGCTAGCCTTAGACTTTCCTAAAAAAAAATAACTTTGATATTTGTATATTAAAATGCAGTAGGTTTTTCAGCTCCTGAGATTCTTGTGAAGCAGATGAGGTACGTGCACGCATCCAAGACCGACAGCATTGCACTTGGGCTTCAAATTTAATAATAATTAAAAAAAAAAAGTTTAACTTGCTCAAAAGTCATTCTCGTCAAGCTTTTGGATTACTAAAACCATGTTGTATGCCAGTGACTTTTTTTATTTTCAGGTTGGTTTAGCAGAAGGCCTTTTAATATCGATTTCACTTGTACATACATTATCATGCAGAATGATTGAGCCAATGTATTTTATCAAATGTTTCATTTAAAATTAAAAGAAATTTTATGACCTATTTTGAACCTCCAACATACCAACAGATAAAAATATATTTTAACAAATGCCTAAATATTTGGGTCCTCTTCCAAAAAAGCCAAAGTAGTCTTTACTGCTCATGAAGTTTGTCTTGCAGCGTCTTGTGAAAAAAAATCTTCGCTTCCATCGCCACTGTTTTATTAAAATAGATTTATGTAATTATA